CATACGTAATTGCATGATTTATGTTAACTTTTGTCTATAGTTATAACTATAACGTTCATGTCTTTTTATTTTATTTTATGAGCTTTATTTTATGAGCTTGAAACATATATCGCGGTATATCGTAAAACTCTCATGACTTATATTTTACAAAAAAGTCTTAATTTTTATTTTAAAATAAATATAATTAGATAATATATTGACTTTTTTTTTATCTTAATTATGATTATATTTATATTTTTTTTTATTTTAGTTTCATTTTGCAGTTTTGAAATATGTACAGCTCGTTCATAGCATTGTATTTCTTAAAAAGAAAGAAAGTATAATTTTTATTCTTTATTTTAAGTTATATATAATTACGCAATATCAATTCTGATCTATATTTGCTATTATATTTATATGATTTTATTTTAGGATTTAAAATATATGTATCGATATATTTTCGCCGCTATACTTTGTGAAATTATAGTCAATAAACGACTTGTTATGTACACACTTGGCGATACTAACTACGCCATCTTGTGTTGTATCACATAGATTGTAACCGCATTTACGCAATGTGGCGGCCTCTGCAAGGATCAAGTGGAAACATTTGTTCTTTTACTTTCAGGAAAAGTATTGACCAATTTTAAAATTAACAACTTTATTTAGTTTAATTTTAATTTATACATAGAATTTTTTCAAATATAAATCAAATATTTTTTATATATTATTATTTACTACTGTATAACACAATTTATAAAATAATATATTAGATTAGATGATTATCACATATACAATTAAAATAATTTTTCTGATTTTATTTTAACAAATATTTTTATATATCAGATTTTATTTACGTTAAAATCTGATATATAAAAACATTTGTTAAAATAAAATCAGAAAAACTATTTTAATTGTATAATCATCTAATTATAGTATAATAAAAATGCTTATATACAGGTATATTAAAGATATCATTAATTCTAGTCTTACATTAACGAATCATTCTTTAACGTCCAAGATAAGATCCTGAGAAACAATTGCAAGCCCAGATATTAGAATGTGTTTGATCTTTTTATCACCTTAGCGCTTCTTCTTGTAACAATTTAACTCCGTTCGAACAATTTGCATAATTTACAATCCCGAACGCGATCATACACGACTCTCGATTATTCATCTAGGTTATTTGCGACGATTCCTTTCTCGCCAGACGTCGCAGTCTCTGAAGAGGATTCGCACGCGGCACGCAATTAGCGTCCACAAGCTGCTTAATAATATAACGGTCAATTTGCCGCGATTAGTCGGCGTAATGAATAGTTCCCCCGGATAATTTATTGTTAATTATTCCCGACCGCGGTATCCTGGCATACGTATATGTCCGTCAGGCGCCGACAATTAAATTGACAACTAATTGAAATATTGCTTGCGCCGGTAATCAGAAGAAAAATTATCTCACCGTTAAAGAGCAATGTTACAACAATGTTAGAGCTCCCGCGAGTACTTAAACTCCTCTTTCTTTGTCTTGTTTTGTTCTTCTCTATCCTTTTTCATCATTTAATCCGACGTTATTTTTAGAGTAAATTTTTTTTATAAAAAAGAGATGATTGGATTATCTAGCTGATTATCACTTCGGCAATTCATTATAAATATTAATTTGGAAAATAATATTTAACTACTTAATTGCTGTTTAAATATTATTTAATTATAGATTCAATTTTAAATGGTTCGGAATCTCTTGCTAATAGGACGCCGGCTAATAAACTTTAATGGTCACTTCAGAAATTTCGGATTAATTGCGAGTTACTTATTCAATGTAGAAGAAATCGACATTTTTTGAGAGATGAAGAAAATAATATTATATATATAAAATTATACTTACGTTCAATTTCAGAAAATAAATTATAAATCCAGAATTACTTCAATCATCGTATATGGTATTTCTCAGTAATTTAATTTGCATGACGCAAGATCTACTTTAATAATGAAGCGATTTATTCAATGAATTAGTAAAAAAATACAATTACGCAAACAGGAAAATCTCAAATATCTTTTCTACGTTTTAACTCTTAATGATATTATTTCGCGTGTTTTTTAATTTTTTTTTTTTAAATCTCACATTTGCTTAAACAGCCAATCGAAGCCAATGAATCCGAAGGTTTTGCTCGCTCCCTGCCCTTCTCCCTTTCTCAGGATACAGCGAAGGCCAAGAAAAAGCCGATGGAGCTGGCATTACACAAGGTGCGCATAAAGTCTCATGAATTATCGCGTGGCTCGGCGCGCTCAGCGAGCGCGGCGGACTTACGTGTTCGAAGAAGCAATGCTCCTGGTATGGCCGCGGGATGGCTAGAACTGCCGATCCAACCTATACTTACCGTCACTGAGATAATCTAGCCCTAGCCTAACCCACCGTAATCCGAACAGCGAAGGGGAAGCCGCGAACTCTCGTGTTGCGACTCGCCGGGGTTCACCTTCCTATCCACCCGGCGAAACATGTTTTGTCTTCAATTCGATATACCGTTCTCGACTTGGCTTTCGAGCACTTTCGACGCAAGTGGTAGCTTAGTTCAGCTTGTTGAGCGAAATTTAGACAATTCTATTTATTGTAGATTGTAATATGCATGTTTGTAACAACTTTTGTATTTGTTTCTTTAATATTAAAAGAGAATGATAAGAGCGAGAGAAGTATAATGGTTGCCAAAACTTTCCGGTCATATAATCTTACAATCATTTTTATCAATCTGTTTATAAGTCAATCACATTCTTGTTATATTCAATTTAGAAACATAATATTTTATATGCTAGAATATCTTATAAAAGTACAATAGGTCTTTATTTGCAAAGATTTTTTACATATAAAATTACTCATTGATCGGAAACTTTCGGTAATTAAATAAATTTTCGTAACTAATAAAAAAAAATATTTAATGTATATTTCTTCTTTATTAAAATTTTACAACCTATGTAGTAAAAAATATACATAACATAAGCATTCAATCAAAATAAGACTCACATATTCCAAAAATTAAAACGATATTAATATTAATCAATAATTTTTCGATTAAACATTAACGAAGATTTAATTAAGACTCTTCGGCTTCTAAATTATTAATATATATCAGCAATTTTTGCTTCTTTGAAGCAAACGAGGTAATATTCTATCGGCTCGAATTCACGGACGTCCTGTACAAACCTGATAATGGATTGGGTCCGTAGGTGGTGTACATCCCATGGATAAGGACTCTTCGACCAATGAGATTGGGACGTGGGTGGTTGCGGTGGTGTGAGTTTTCTTCGTCGACCGTGGGTTTGCGTGGGCTGCACGGTCCGCAGGATGCAGCATCTTTCAAAATGGTGGTTCCCCGAGAACGCGGCTCTCTCGTGACCACGCTCTCGTGCCGCATGCACGCCATTTCACGAAATCGCAACAATACCCAAAGTCCCACACGCGGGCGTATCATCACGCTGCCATTTTTTTTTACTTGCGCAACATTTTCCTAGTATCAAGATATTCACGCTAGAAAATGACTTCCACGAAGAAATTTCCTCTCCTTCATTAACGTCGCGCGTAATCGATAGGCTTACTCGCGAACACCGCAGAAACGTTCCGACGCAGTAGGTGCAAAAAAAAAAATTATCAGCGAAGTGTAAAAATGGTAAGATAAGTGATATTGTTTCCTGGGAACTTGGCTGGCATGGTGTGACGACTTTATCGATTACTGATTGTAAGATTAGCAACGAGTGAAAATTGCCACCGCAATACGGCATGCTAGGAATGTTTCTAATATTGCGCAAATTACACCTTACATATGCTCACTAAATATTGATTACATTTGTCACATTATTGTCAAGCCATATTATATAGGTAATAAATAATTTTAATAAATACAAAATTATTAAGATTTATTGTGAGTAAATAAGAATATCAATCTTGTTTTCATGTATTTATTAATAATTACTATATA